TTGCAAGTAAATGGATGGCATTGGAAGATAATGCTAAGTGAAGTTAGCCAATCCCAAAAACACAAATGCCAAATGTTTTCTCTGATATAAGGAGGTTGACTCATAGTGGAGTAGGGAAGGACAGCATAGGAGGATTAGATGAATTCTAGATAGGGAAGAGGAATGGAAGGGAAAAGGAGCGGGCAGGGGATTAGCAAGGATGGTGGAATGTGATGGATTTCATTATCCAAAGTACATGTATGAAGACACAAATTAGGTATCAACCTACTTTATATACAAACAGAAACRAAAAATTGTGGTCTATATGTGTAATAAGAATTGTAATGCTGGGGTTATGGTGCTGGGATTATGGCTCAGCACACACTTGCAAGGCCCTGGGTTCGATCCTCAGCACCACATAAAAATAAATAAATAAAATAAAGTTATTGTGTACAAAAAAAATATTTAAAAAAAGAATTGTAATGCAAAAAAAAAAAAACAAGTACATGTATAAAGACATGAATTGGCGTGAACATACTTTATACAAAGATAAGAAAAAATGTGCTCTATATGTGTAATAAGAATTGTAATACATTCCACTGTCGTGCATTTAAAAAAATAAAATCAATTTAAAAAATGCTGGTGAGGATGCAGAGAAATGCACTGATTGGTGGAAATGTAAATTAGTATAGCCATTATGAAAAACAGTATGGAGACTCCTCAAAAGACTAGAATAGAACTGGCATGTGATCTAGAAATCACTCTACTGGATATATGTGCAAAGGAAATGATATCAGTATGTGGAAAAAATATCTCCACTCACACGTTTATTGCAACACTACTTACAATAGCCAAGATATGGAATCAACCCAGCTATCCATCAATGGATGGATGAATAAAGAAAATATGGCATATATATACAATGGAATATTATTCGACCGTAAAAAGAATGAAACTGTCACTTGCAGCAACAAAGATGAAACTAAAGGACATATGTTACGTGAAATAAGTCAGACCAGAAAGACAAAAATGTTATGTTCTCACATATATAGAAATTAAAAATCTCACAGAACTAAAAAATAGAATAGAGGTTACCAGAGCTCGGGAAATGGGGGAGGAGGGGGAAATGGGGAAAAGATGGTTAGTGGTTACAAAGGTACAGATGAATAGGAGGAATAACTTCTAGTGTTCTACAACATAGTAAAATAACTATGCTTGACAACAATTGATTATTTCAAACTAGCTAGAAGATTGTGTACGTTCCCAACATGAAGAAATGAGATATGTCTATAGTCCTGATCTTATCATTATACATCGTATACATGTATTGAAATATCACATTATAACCCATAAATATGTACAACTACTAAGTGTCAATTAAAAATAAAACACATGGAAAGAAACAAACTGACTCAAGAGCCACTAGGCCACACGCTTTAAGCCCCAAAGAGACCAAACATTTTTGCAATAATCCTGTCACTGCTCAAAAGGATTTCTGCACCTTCTCTTGGTATCATCTTTGAACCAGATTTTAGAACACAAACCCAAATTCTGTCATTATCTACAGAACATCTCATCTTTTGGTGGAAGATGGTAGAAAACTGGTGCTCCCTTGACCAATCAGTTCACCTTGTTCACCAGATTTGGCTCTGAGTGATTTTGGACATTTTGCCCAAGTCATATCTGGCTATCCTCAAAGGCCAGGAGCACTGAAAAAGGTTCAGTGCTATAAATATCTCACACATTGGATAGTCAGTTCAAAGGGGGAGCTCCAGAAGTTTTGTGAAAAAGCAGCATCTTGAGAATGGGGTTATAGTGATCACAACAGCTACCATTATTAAGCCCTGACCATAGGCCAGCCATTGGGTTAAAGTGCCTTTCAAGCCTCGGTTCATCTGAGTCTCATCTGTGAAGCACATATTATCATTCCCATTTTACAGATGAGAATTGATATACGGCCTGTTCAAAAACCCAAAGCCTATATGTGAATTCCAATTCACTTCTGTGTTTCTTTCCTGGTCAAGTGTCCAAATAGCTGCATCCTGGACACTGAGGGAATGAAGCTAGGGCAATAAGATCACTGAACACATCTATCAGCACATCCCTCTTCCCAAATATGGAGCAGATGACAAACAGTCCCACAGAAATGACAAGCAAAACCAGCCTCTCTGCCCAGACAGTGTCCTGAGGAGAAAAGAGAAAACAAGAACTGAGAAGCAGGCCACCCTTGTTCAGCTCCTAAGTAAATCCCAAGCTTTGGTGCCCTCAGCTGGTTTCTTGGGGCTCCCTTCCTTTAGATCATGAGCACACTCTTCTCCCAACCATTATCATTCCAAATATCAATTTCCTCTCAACTGGCAAGAAACCCCAACTAAGGCGTTAGCTGACAACAGCTTACCAAGTCACACTTTCTTGCACTTGTATCTGAGTAAGATATTCCTAAAAGCTTCAAGATCCAAAAAGATGAATGACTTTTTAATGGTAGGTTGATAGACTGTGACAGAGACAGACTGCTAGGGCAACATTTTGGGACAGAAGCCTGCTTGACACAGGCTCAAGTGAAACCACGAAGTAGCTGCTCCCATACTAAAAATAATGTCTGACGTTTATTGACTATATTGTGCCAGTCCCAATAGGTGCTTGGTCTATATAATCACTTTTAATCAACACTAAAATCTCAACAGGAAGGTACCACCCTGGTCTTACAAATGARGAAATAAAGTTCAGAAATGTTCAAATTGCCAGAGTAGGTGGGTAAAAAGAGAGCATATAAAGGGCCTGTGCTCCTTCTACTGAAATTCACTATCTCATCTCTCTCCTCAATCACCTTTTTTAAGGCCAATATCTCACAACCATAGCCCTTTTGGCATTTACACTCCATCTAGGATGTGGCATTCCAGGGAAGTACACAGCAGGAGCTGTAAAGGGAGACTGTCTGCAGATCATACTGGTACACACAGCCATGGTATCCTAGATGGCCATTAGCCTACATACATGCCTTTAGATAAGACAATTCCAGGTCATCAGGAGCATCTGCCTGGACTCCAGGCTCTGAAGAAAGTATTACAAGCACCACCACCCCACCCCATTTTCACTACTGTGAAGGTGGCTGGCTACATAATTTGGATTTTAAATGCCATCAGGGCAGCAATTTTTATGGTATGAGAGAAAAGATGCTTCAACTTCTACTTGTGCTTACACATGATGATAGATTATGACAAATGGAAACAGCTTAGGAACAGACATAAGGATAAAAGCGGCTTCTGTTGCTGAAAGTCAGTATTAACATTTTTCTGAGACTACACTAAATAGAGCTAATATAAATGGGCTAGAATATTTATGGCTCTGAAAGCTCATCTATTTGGTTGGACTATTATCCAAAAGAGACTTACTAGCACACAGTCCTTAAGTAAATTCATCAGTATGCTTTTGGTAATTGTGCTTCTGCTAAAGCTCTCAACAGGGAGCATGGGGATCCTCATGAGCTGCAAGTTGGAAAAGAAACACAGCCCCAATCCCTTGAGAATCTCAGGTGTTTTCAGGGCCATTTTACTGCCAATGCCATCTTACAGCCACAACCTCATGCTGCAGTCAGTCCCACCTTCAAGGGCCTCTGGGATCCCATTCTCATTGTCCTTGAAGAGGAGGCCAAAAAAACAGCACCAATAGGATCTTAGTCAGAAAACATTAAAAGCTCAAAAGAATTCGTGACTCCTAACTGTATGTTCTCTCCTGCTCCACAAAGTGAGGGGAAAGGCAGAGAGAAAACAAATGACTTCAGAGAGAAGGTGGAAGCTTGCCATGAGCCAGAGGTGAACCTTGGCTGAGCTGGACTGTTATTAAATTCATCACAATTGTCATTTGCACTTCAAGGACCTCCAGTTCCAAAGCCTCCAGAGCTTTACCCAACATTTAGTAGGAGTGCTGGGGGTTGGGGAAGGAGGCCAGGGGAGGGTAAAAATATCAGAAAGCTGATAGTCAGATTGTCTCAAAGGAGGGCATGGGGGCACTGGCCAAGGGCAAACTGTTGCTGAGACAGGTAGGAGAAAGAGGTCAGGAGGCTTAGCATGCTGCTGCCAGGCCAAACTTAGGCCTTCTTGGGCATTCTCCTTCTGCCTGTGACAAAGACAGGGGCCCTGAGCAATGAAGTCTAAGTTAATGAAGAGAGGCCTGGAAAGAACAAGAAGAAAAAGAGAGAGGATAAAGAAAGCCTGAGGGCTGGGGTTGTGGCTCAGCGGTAGAGCGCTCGCCTCGCCGTGCGAGACCTTGGGTTCAATCCTTAGCACCACGTACAAAAATAAATAAGTGAAATAAAGGTGTTGTATCCAACTACAACTAAAAAAATAAATAAATATTAAAAAAAAAAAAGCCTGAGAAATCACAAGCAAGAAAGAAGAGGAAGAAGCAGAATCTTACTTGGTGCTCACCGCACAGGCAGTCAGCTCATGGGGAGAATCCTGACCTTTCCAGCTGTGCTTCAAAGTGGTAGTGTGATTTTGGCCAAGTACCTTGAAATCTCTGACCCTAAGTCTTCTCCTTTTCAAAATGAGAATAATAATAATAATACTTCATAGGGTTATTGAGAGAATTAAATGAGACTATATATAAAGCACTTAATACAATGCTTGGTCCATGAAACTACTTATTATTATCATCATTACTATAGCATCATCATCTTTTCCCCAAAGGATAACTGTGTCATGAGCTTTAAAAAGAAGGGAATGGGGGCTGGGGTTGTGGCTCAGCAGTAGAGTACTCACCTAGCACATGTGAGGCGCTGGGTTTGATCCTCAGCACCACGTAACAATAAATAAAATAAAGGCATTGTGTCCAACTACAACTAAAAAAAATATTAAGAAAAAAAAAGAAGGGAGTGAACTCAGAAATGGAAAAGAAAAAGCCACATTTCTCTAAGAAAGAAAAATAAAAGTCCACCCCATCCCACAGAAACCCTGTTGGTTGACAGGGAGACTCTCTCACATCTCATTAGGAATTCCACCTATCTTCAGTAAGACACTTACTGGGTTCTGATGACTGAGGCAGAAGGTGAAGCAGGAGGCCATCAGTAACCCAAGCAGCATCCCCAGGGGAACCATCCTAGATGGAGGCAGGCTCTGAGGAACCATAGTCAGGGACCTGAAGATACAAGCACAGAAAACAAAGGTCCATGAAAAGCTGGAACCTGGTCCCCCAGCACTGTGATTCCTATCATGGCACTTGCCCCGCAGATGTCAGACATTTCCTACATAAAGTTATCTAGTTCTTTTACCATTTCTAGGTAAGTTTCAAGCTTCCATTTCCTGTAACAGATTCAACTACTCAAGGGGAGAAATGCTCTGGCTGGAACTGTACAGTAACCCAGGACTCTTTCATGTGCTATCAGAGCACTGGTCCCTTCCTTCCTCAATTAATCATCTATTCTTAGCTTGGAGAGAGTGTATTGGGTATGGTGGGGAGAGAGAAAAATTAACCACCTGATCTATATGTGAACAAATATGGGCTGACTCCATGTAAGCCTCTATATCTACTTTTAATCACATCCATTATCATATCTGAAAAGAGATGACATCAACACCCTCTATGCCAACAAAGTTCAATATTTCCAGGCCATGAAGCCTTTCGCATTCCTTTTCAAATGGCCAAACAAAAGTATAGGCCCTAGTAGCTGTTAAAATTTTATTTTATGGGCTGGGGATGTGGCTCAAGCGGTAGTGTGCTCGCCTGGCATGCATGCAGCCCGGGTTCGATCCTCAGCACCACATACAAACAAAGATGTTGTGTCCACCAAAAACTAAAAAATAAATATTAAAAAAAAATTATTTTATTTTTTGTTGGTACTGGCGATTGAACTCAGGGCCACTAGACCACTGAGCCACATTCCCAGCCCTATTTTGCATTTTATTTAGAGATAGGGTCTCACTGAATTGCTTAGGGCCTTGCTGTTGCTGAGGTTGGCTTTGAACTAGTGATCCTCCTGCCTCAGCCTCCCAAGTCCCTGGGATTACAGGCATACACCACCACACCCGATTTGTTAAAATTTTTAAAACCACAAAGATGGAAGGACATCCTATGTTCATGGATTACAGACTTAATATTGTTAAGATGATAATATTACCCAAAGCAATCTCTATCAAAATCCCAGTGGTATTTTTTGCAGAAATGGAAAAATTTGTCCTAAAATTCATATGGAATTTCAAGGAGCCCAGGACAGCCAAGACAATTGTGAAAAAGAAGAAAGGTAGAGGACTCACACCTCTGATCTCAAAACTTCCTACAAAAGGGAGGTACTGGCATAAGGATAACCATATAGACCAAAAGAATAGAATAGAGCACATCAATAATCATATATATAATCAATTAATTTTCAACAAGGGTGCCAACATTATTCAGTGGGGAAACGACAGTCTCTTCAACAAACACTACTAGGATAACTGCATATGCAAAAGAATGAAGTTGGACCCTTTCCTTACACCATATACAAAATCTAACTCAAAATGGATCAGAGAACTTAATTTAAGAGCTAAAAGTATAAACCCCTTATAAGAAAACATAGGTGTGATCTTAATAACTTGGGATTTGGTGATGGTTTCTTAAAAATAATACCAAAAGCACAGGCAACCATAGGAAAATATATATATAAGAATTTATCAAAGTTGAAAATCTTTTGTGGGGCTGGGGTTGTGGTTCAGTGGTAGAGTGCTCGCCTAGCATGTACAAGGCCCTGGTACATGTTCAATCCTCAGCACCACAWAAGAATAAATGAATAAAATAAAGGTATTGTGTCCAACTACAACTAAATATAAATATTAGAAAAATAAAAAATTTTGTGTCTCAAGAAATATTATCAAGGGATTGGGGATGGAAGTGTAGCTCAGTGGTAAAGCACATGTCTAGCATGCATGAGGCCCTGGGTTTGAGATCACACCAACACACACTCACACGAACAGGAGCACAACATTCAGAGAGTGAAAAGACAACCCATAGAACAGGATAAAACATTTACAAATCATATACATGGTAAGGGTTAATGTTCAGAACTGGGCTGGGAGTGTAGCTCAGTGGAAGGTACTTGCCTAGCAAGTACAAGGTCCTGGGCTTGATCCCCAGCACAACCAACAACAGCAGCCAAAAATGTCCAAATTATATCAAGAATTCCTGAATCTCAACAATAGAGATAAATAACCCAATTTAAACATGGGTAAAGGATATGTTGGTATTTCTCCAAAATAGATATATAATCAGCTAATAAATAAGCAGCTAATAAGGATGTGAAAATACTCTCAACATTGTTAACCATTAGGGAAATGCAAATCAAAAATCACAATGATATCCCACTTATCACTCTCTAGGATGGTTATAATATTTTCTTTTTTGTTTTGTTGTACTGGGTTTGGAACCTAGGGACACTCTACCTCTGAACTACATTCTCAGCCCTTTTATTTTTTACTTTGAGACAGAGTCTCACTAAGTAGCTAAGTCTGGTCTTTAACTTGTGATCCTTCTGCCTCAAATCTCCCAGGCTACTGGGATTACATGCCTGGCTATAACAACTTTTTTAAAAAAGTAAAATAACAAGTATCAGTGAGGATTTGGATCCAATGGAACCATCATACATTATAAGTAAAACAGTGTAGTCATTATAAGTAAAACAGTTTGATGGTTCCTTAAAAAGCAACATATAGAACTGCCCTATTTCCTAGCACTTCTACTCCTACATATATACCCAAAAGGACTGAAAACAGGGATTTGAACAGCTACTTATAAAGCAATGTTCACTGCAGCATTATTTACAATATTCAAAGCTATAAATAATCCAAGTGACCACGAACAGATTAACAGGTTTTAAAATGTGATATACATACAATGGAATATTATTCAATCATATAAAATAATGAAATTATGATACACACTGCAGTACGAATAAACCTTGAAGATATTATGTCAAATTAAATAAGCCAGACATAAAAGGACAGATATTATATTTGATTCTACTTACATGAAATATCTACAATAGCTAATTCAAAGACAGAAAGTAGAATCAAGCTTACCAGGGGTTAAGGGAAAAGGGTAATAGAGACTTACTGTTTAATAGGAACAGAGTTTCTGTTTGGAGTAGTTAAGCAATTTTTCACTAGTAAACTAGAGTGGAAATCAAGAATTAATCCAAATTGGCAAATAGACTAGGAAAGAAAGAAGAAAAAATTAAATAAGCAGAACAAAAATCTTAGAAAATTTCAGAATGTGTCCATATTAGCCCAGCCCTTTAAATAGGTTTTTATGTGTAACCTTGGGCCCTAATGTATCTCATTCAGTGGTTTACTCAGTGGTGGCTTAAGCAAATCAATTACAGGGGTTATCTCTGAAGAGTGTGGTATTAACTTTTCTCTCTCCTATTTCTGTTACACCCCTCCCTGCTCCACCTCAACAAATTGGCCCCATGACAGAATTGCAGTGGGGCCCAAAGCCCTGCCTAGACTCACTCTGAGAAGTTGTTACCACTCTGCCCAGCCCACACCTCCCTAGGGGCAGACAAAAAAAAAAAAAAAAAAAACGTTTCCTAAGGACATCTGCAGCCATGAAAGAAAACAGCCTTGCTGGACCCGCACTGTGCTAAAAAAGCACAGCCAAATGGAAAAGCAAAGGCTTGGACACTAAAAATAGCTGCTACACTCACCCAGCAGCAAAAGCCTTGCTTTCTGCAGTTCCTCCCCACACCCCACCTTTTTCTTCATGACAAAATGGAATGGCTGAGTGTCAGGCAAGCTTCCCCAAGCAACCTAGCTCCTTGGGGGCACTGAAAGAGGGAGTTCACTGTCTGGAGCGTTAGGTTCTGTATAGGTGCCTGGCCATGCCTGGGTGTGAAAGGGAGAGGGGCCAGGTTAGGTGAGGGTGAAAAAGATGCAAGGGCCACATCAAGAAGAAAAAGGCTGATGAGACCAGGAGATGGGTCCCAAGAGGGTACAGCCCTGGAGCTTTCCTAAAGCCCTATATACCTTTCTTACCCCTATGGCCTGGCCTGGCCAGGGTGGTTAGGGGAGATAAAGAATTGAAGTGAGGGTCTCACAGCATTATCAGAACATACAATAAAAGAAAAGAAAGATTAATCCAAAAGCCACAGATTTCCTTCCTTTATCTCAGAGTATTCATGTGTTTATGCATATGCACACTGTTAGATGCTCCTTTCTTACAGCCAGGAATAAACACTGAGACTGGTACTGGGGAAAAGATAAATGAGAAGGAAGAAGTCGAGCAAAGATGACAAATGAGCAGGAGGAAGAGGATTCAGAGGAACTGAGGAATAAGAGGTTAGGGCAGCTGATGAACGAACAGCAATTTTTCCACCTCCTGGAGTGGAGGACAAGAAAAATAGCAGCTCCCTCTGGACTCCTAGGCACCTCCAGGTCCTGCAAAGACTCACAGCATCAGGAACATTTTCTGCCAATACTCGGGATGAGAGATCGATTCACAAATGAATCCTTCATCTCCCCTCAATAATTTCACATGGACTATACACCTAACCTATTTATTGCATTCACAAAAATTGGGGAGTGATATGGAAAACGGATAAAGAATAAGAGGGGTGCGAGGACTGAGGAGAGAGGAGAGACCTAGATGAAATGAGGCTGGGAGAAAAGCAGGTGGCAAGACAGTTTCTCAGGCTTTGAAGGGGCACTTACAAAGCAAGCACAAACTCTGAAACATGCAGGCATGGTTAACAGTGTCCTCTGTCCTTTTAAGCCTGGCCTATAGCCATCTCACTTGGTCTTGGATCTTACTCAAGAAGTAGCAGGTGAGGCTGGGAATGTAGCTCAGTAATACAGCAATTGCCTAGTATGCATGAGGGCATGGGTTCAATCCCCAGCACCACAATAAATAAATAAAACAGCAGGTGGAGAGAACAGGCAAAGTTTGCCCTGTTTGCCCTGGACTTTATGCTGAGACTGAAGGGGAGGTAGAACAGAGAAAGGAGAAGCAACACACAGTTACATTTTGTCAGGGTGGCCCTTGATCACAAAGGAACTGGCAGAAGCAGTCACAAAACTTCAGTCTCTGTCATAAAACCAAAGTTGTAGCATCCCATTGAAGTGCAGTTCAGCACACTTGGCCTGAAGAGGATACCCTCCCTAAATCAGGTG